CATTTTGTTTATTATTATTATTCTTAATTGGTTTATTTTTTTTAAACATTAAACTAGTTCAGATTTTATAATTTCCTTATTTTTTTTTTAATTGTAAACAATTTTGTTATTTCCAAATATTAGTTTTACATCATAATGTTTACATATAATTTTTAAAATGATTAATTATAAATTAATAGAAATGAAAAAAATATTGCAATTATGATTATTCACATATTCAAGTTAAAATTATTTTTAAATAATGTAATTAAAATTTTACAGTTTAATTTTTTTATTCGCCGTTTTTAATACAAACATTATTATATATATTTAACTTTGACATTTTAACATTAACATTGACGTTTTGACATTTTGAAATTTCAACATTGACATTTCATCAATGACATTTACTTGAAGCGCAAAGTTGACACTTTCTCATATTATTTTATCATATTGACATTTCTGAAAATTACTTTGTGAACATATTTAATAAAGTAGAAAGAAATAATTACTGACATTGACGTTTAAAATTGACATTTCTGAAAATTACTTTGTGTACATATTTAATAAAGTAGAAAGAAATAATTACTGCATTGACATATTGACATTTCAACATTGACATTTACTTGTAGGGCAAACTAGACCCTTTCTCATATTATTTTATGATATTAACATTTCTGAAAATTACTTTGTGAACATATTTAATAAAATGGAAAGAAATAATTACTGACATTGACGTTTTGACATTTCAAAATTGACATTTGCCTGAAGGGCAAACTAGACCCTTTCTCATATTATTTTATGATATTGACATTTCTGAAAATTACTTTGTGAACATATTTAACAACATAGAAAGAAATAATTACTGACATTGACGTTTTGACTATTTAACAATGACATTTTGACATTTCAACATTTCAACATTGACCTTTACTTTAAAGTCAAACTAGACCCTTTCTCATATTATTTTATCATATTGACATTTCTGAAAATTATTTTGTAAACATATTTAATAACATAGAAAGAAATAATTACTGACATTGACTTTTTGACATTTTAACATTGACATTTCATCAATGACATTTACTTGAAGGGCAAACTAGACCCTTTCTCATATTATTTTATCATGTTGACATTTCTGAAAATTACTTTTTGAACATATTTAATAAAGTAGAAAGAAATAATTACTGACATTTTAACATTGACATTTCATCAATGACATTTACTTGAAGGGCAAACTAGACCCTTTCTCATAATATTTTATCATATTGACATTTCTGAAAATTACTTTGTGAACATATTTAAGAACATAGGAAGAAATAATTATAAATAAACTAGAACAACGTTATTTTCAAAATAATTGTCAAAGTATTCAGGATTTATTCGTATTTATTTTCATTTGTGTATAAGGTTTCTATCGATCGGTAAGAGACACCATACAATATTATTTCATACATGCACACTCTATATTTATACAATAATTTATATAATCCTTGACATGCATATATCATCTATTGTTATTATTTTTAACTTGATTAATATCAAATAATCATTCTCAATTAACAATAACTTAGATTTAAAAAATAAAAAAAAATAAATATTTACTACTTCTTTCAATTAATTCTGAAAAGGAAGTTAAAAAAAAACTTGTTTACAATTTACTATAATTGTGATACTTAAACTGTATTAATAACAATTCGCATAAAACATAAGTGCAATTCCTTGTATGTCGTATACAAGCGACATCCTTGACACAAAACATGGTTTTTGTCCTTTTATTCCGAAAACAACGAACAAATCCTGCTTAAAGTCCTGACATTACGTACAAGTTTGTTAGTGCATGAAATCAAGGATAACGTTGATGTTTTTTGTTTTGTTTCATTATATTTTGAGTGCGGAATTGATTTGATTTTACGGTTCGTGCTTAATACAGTTGTAAGAACCAAAAACAAAACGAATGTTTTGCTTGTGAAGCCGCAACAAAACGTGCCTTTCTGCGGTATATTCATATCCATCCTTCGATTGAGTGCAAGTTTTTTTTCGTTCGATCCATCGTCAATTTGCCATTCGCTCATTTGCATTCCGACATTGTTCAAAGTCGACAACATTCGTTCTCTCAGGTGAGCAATTTATTTCATTTCTCTCCAAACGGCACGTTTAATTACCTGGATTCTGGTAAAAAAAAACTAACATTTCTGAATGTCACGAAAAATTAATTTATCGTCTTCCTTATAATTTAAATTGTTTTTTTTAAATTTATAATATTCCCAACATCCCAAAAATAACTTTATGATCAAAACTTGTCTTACCTTAAATGTTTTTAATTATCATTTATGTTCCACAACCGAAGTTCTACTGTACATCAAAGCAAATAACTAAATGAGTTGATTAAACATTTACATTTTATACCTATTATCAATATTCAACAAATTACCTTTATAAAGCCTTGTAAAACATATCCCATTGATTAGAATAATCTGGATGCGTGAAAGTTCTTTTGATATGGAAATATTTCCGTAATTACAAACGGGAACGGTACTAAATTATACGACCTGTAATATATCATAAATAATTGTATTCAAATGGTATTCCGCTTTTTTATTGTTACACGAATGTTTATATAACAATAATTATACATAACAATGGTAATTTTAATTTTTTTCTACATTACGAATTCATTTGCATACGATTTTGAATTAATTCGTAAGAGTGCATTGAATAAATCTAATTATAGGTATAATCTGATAATAAAATCATTATATAGATATTAATATTTACGTCAGCATTGTTAATAAAAAATATATCGTAATATCATCGATTAGTAACAAGATTAATGCCAGTAAATTGAATTTCGAACAACTTTTCTTTATGATGTTTTCATTTTAATAAAGCAATAAACAATGTTCCTTACGTAATGTTGTTAATTATAACAAAACTGTAGTATTACAATAGTATTGTTCAACCTTTTGACAGCACTACCCTAATATATTTGATTGTAGTTGTACTGTGAATTCGATTTGACACAAGGTGACAGTTGTCATTCATAGTCATGTATGCAGTATGACACAAATGACAGTTAACACAGTTTGACATAAGGTGACAGCTGTCATTTCGCGATCCACTAAAAAAATAACATTAAAATTAACAATATCATTATATCATCGATTAGTAACATTATGATTAATGCCGGTAAATTGAATTTGGAACGACTTTTCTTTATGATACGTTCATTTTAATAAACCAATAAACAATGTTCAAATTATAATAATAATATCGAATTATAACAAAACTGCTATTGTAATACATAGCATTTCTCAACATTTTGACGGCATTACCCCAATATATTTGATTGTAGTTGTACTGCGACTAAATTTGCTCGATTTGACACAAGGTGACAGCATAGGTGACTCATAGTCATGTATGCAGTATGACACAAATGACAGTTAACACTTTTTTTGACATAAGGTGACAGCTATCATTTCACGATCCATTAAATTTAAAAAAAATAACAATATGGTAATATTGGAAAATTGTAACATTATGATTATTGCAAGTAAATTGAATTTGAAACAACAACAATGTTCGTTACGTAATGTGAAAATTATGTTTAAATTAAAATACTAAATAGACATACTAAGTTACAATAATACCATAATATCATAAATAATTCCACAATTTAAATTTACAATTTCTTTTAAATATTTTTATTACTTAAAATGTGGACGAATTATATTTTTTTAATTTTCAATATACACCAATAATTGAACTGTATGAAAGACAAACAAAATTCATTAGTTGAATCAATTTTATTTCCATTCAAAGAGACAAAAACTTTTTTTGATAAAAAAGATGATTTTTACAAACATTTTGACATTTTATGTTTTTCAAATGAAAGTGAAAGTGATAAAACATTTACGTATTCGATAAGAAAGCACTTAAAATTAGGTGATTATAGAAAAAAAAAATTCTTATATGGTTTGTAAATGTACTGCAATTCTAGTAGACAGAAAATCATTGGTGACTCATTACTAATTTTTGTAGTAAACAGATGAAATCTTAAAAAATGTGATTTTTTCACAAACTATAACAGATTGAATGAATTCAAAGATGCATATGAAAGCTGGATGTTTGGGGAATGTAGCGAGTATATTTGCTGTGAATTCAAAGAATAAATGCAGAAATCTTACATAATAATCTCAAATCCTTATTTGTATGTAATTAAATAAAACTAATTCAATTAGTTATTCGGCCCGATTTTGGTTTTAAATTATTTAATTGGTTTTTTCCTTTGGTTTTCAAATTTTGCTAATGAATTATGTATACGGAGGTCAGAAACGAAATGTACAAAAGTAAATCAAGTAACACGTACGAAGTTAACAATGACAATTAATTAAGTTTAACTAGAGGAATTGCTGAAGTAGAAATTGCTTTCCGCTCCGACCATTTCACTTCTTTCTCCAACGTTCATTATCCATTTGTTTGTTTTTATTTTCGGGGATTTTTCTCTGTTTCTTTCGTTCTTTATTTCTTTCTTTCCGAACCGCTGATGACGAAAGAAAGTCTCGTGTCGTTACCCAATCCGAGGTGTAACAAGCGACAGAGAAACCGAAACCAAAAGAAGAAGACGACATTTCCACCGAAGAAAGTGTTCACCAGTCTGCATACACAGAGCGCTCATATATTTTTTTTCTTCCTTTTATAAATCATCAAGCCGCATTTGAATACGCAACAGATTCACTTTCACTTCGCCTCCCAAACTGGACCTGCAGATCAATTGTAAATTTCCGAAGAGTTTCAAGTTTTCACTCTCCTCCATCGTGTGGATGGATATTATTTTCGCGATTTGCTTGGATCTGTGTGCATTTGCGTTCATTCTTTGTTTGCCTGGCATTTGGCGAGGTATTCAGGTTATTTTCCCTTTCTAAAAAAATATATATATATACATTCGTGTGAGCGAGTGAAAAAAAAAACGCAGCTCGGCATCTCGAAATTTAAAAAGAAAATAAAAACTCTTGTTTCAGTTCGTTCGAGGAGGTTCGCAGTGGTGTGTGATGCGAGAGCAATAAGGACGAGACAAGGATTAAATAATAAGTGCGATTCGAGATGGCTGTGCAGGCTTCGCTCATGAAGACGATGATGGATGTGATCGGATTCCTCTTCATCTCCATCGGCATGATCGTCACGTCGATCGTGAAGTGTTTGATGCCGAGCAGTTACAAGCCTTTCAAGAACTGCAAAGGTGAAATCATCTTGATCACCGGTGGCGGAAGCGGTTTGGGACGGCTGATGGCTATGAGATTCGCGAGGCTCGGTGCTACGATCGTAGTATGGGACATCAATGAACCAGGTATGAGATATGAGAGCATGCTAGTAATATAGTGATGCAACTTCTCCAGAACATCTTTTCTTTTGGTAGCATTTGGAAAAAAAGTAAAATCGTAATAATTTCAAAACAACATGAAATTAATTTTAAACTTTTCTTTTAATGAACAAAACTTTTTAAATTTTGCAATTTTTCTTCATTTGAAAATATTTCATTCAAAACTATTGATATGATGATCATCTTTTTACTAATTTATTCGAAATGATTTAATAACGTAATTTCTATACTTTGGAACTACTTCAAAGTCTCATTCATTGTTTACTTTCCATATATTTTTTTTGTTATAATCATTTACTGAAAATTTTTCCATTCAATTACGCTGCGATACTAATATTTAAGAATTAATTTCTTCTTATAGCAATACGACAAATATCTCCCATGAAGTCTTTACTTTATGAGGTAAATATTTGATCTCTTGAATGAATTGAATAAATTTCTATATGAATCCTTCATATATTTGACGTTGATATCCAAATAATCCTAAAGGAAGACTTATATACTGTAGCCTCAATAATGTCTCTATACTAAATCTGAATTAAAGTAATTAAAAGGAAACAATTATGCTGAGATCATTCTAAATTCTATTAAAATAATAAATTAAATCTCATTTTCACAATTTTTCATAAACTTATTTAGATATTAAATTATGAAAGCAATAAAAATCAATTAATGATTGCTTTAATATAAAATTGAATTATAATATTTATGAGAGAAAAAATCAATTTGGTTTTAGTTCTATATGCAATTTATATAATATTAAAATTTGTTAATCTCTATACATTTCGCCTTGTAACTACATTTTTTTTACCAACAACAATGTGACCACAAAGATTATCTATTGCTTCGAAACATATCAAAATGTAGTTTCCATATAATAATAATTAAACCGTTTTATCATCAGAAAAAATAACTTACTAAATTTAAACAAAATACAATTCAAAATCGATTTAATTTTATTTCTTGTCTATGTCCGTTACAAGATTAATACACAAAGTGGGAAATTGTGACATCTTTGTGGTAGATTTTATAAATTAATGGAATAGAAACTTTCATTACTAAATTTACAAGTTGTTAACTAAATTTATAACAACACATCTCATTACTCTGATTTAAAATCGAAGTCATCAACATTATTATTTTGTATACAGATAATAAGACTTACGAAGTAGCTCCGTTCCGTAAGTCGAATTTGTTCGCAAGTAGGGGAATTTAAAAAATTCAAAATATTTTTATCTTACCACACTTTATCATGGTTTTTACTTTTATATATGTTAAATTCCGTATTACTGACTGCATAAATTTGAAAAAATAGGTTAAAATAAAGAAAATACTTACTTACAAATACTTTTCAATGTAGACATCACAATTATTTAGTACATCTTCCAAAAATATTATATTTTATTAAAGGAATTATCAATTTTTGTTTATCACAATATATCTCCAATATATCTGCAACAAGTTAGAGATTTTAGAATTTTGTTCGTAAGCTTGAGAGTTCGTAAGTCGAGAGTTTATAAGTCGAGAGATACCTGTATTAAGTTGTTATATTTATACATTCTTGGTTTTCACTCTTTCAAATACGAATATTATTTTTTTTGTTAAAGGCAACTTTTGTATAGAAGTCCTTTTTCATTATGTGATTAATGTGACTTGTAACCAAAAGAAGATGAAATGATAATGTTGTAATAATGAAACAATCAAAATTTAAAGTTTATTGTTATTTCTCCTTGGTAATTTCCAGATAAATCGCGTTATTTTCTTGAAATAAACGATTCAAAGTCGTTTGCGGGTGGAATAATAAATAGTTTTTTTTTTTATTGTCGATTCATTCATTTAGTAAATTGGCAAACCACCTTTTTATAAATTTTAAAATTCCATTCGCGTTTTTGGTAAGTGATCAAATGTCGAGACGAATTTTGAATGTAAACACGCGAATTTATATTAAATTCACGACAAAAATGATTATGAATTAGACACGATTATGTAAAAATAATGATGATTATCTTAATGTTATTTTTCTCAAAACTTTGTTTAACATATTCATTCAATTATGTTGATTTGAAAAAAAATTGCAAAAAATGTTTTTTCTTTAGAAAATAGCGCATAACAAACAATTATAAACAAACCTTACTCTACAAAACATGAAAATTAAAATCAATCACGTTTAATATAGAAATTGCTTGAGCGATGCAGATGCGTGATTAATTATAAAAATGAACATAATTATAAAAAATATATATTGAGGCTGGGAAACGAGAACGGTTTCGCATCGGTGATTACCGCAGTTTTCTTCATCTCCGCCAATGCTTGGGAAGAGGAAAAAAATACAATTATTTATATACCAACTGGAATTTATCAGTCAATTAAGCCAATTAAACGTTAATCCGTGTGAATTATAGCTAATTATCGAAAGAATTTCCTGTTTGAACCTAAATTGCTCCAGTAAATTGGTCTACTTTATATACAATTGCTAATATCGTACGAACAATGCGCACCAATTACATAAAATGACGCCGTCATATGACATATGTCAATATTTATATAATTATAGTAGAATTTATGTCGTACTTATTAATTTTATGATTGACATTGACATTAAAATGACATTGACATATCTGTCAATATTTCAATTTAGTGACGCCATCTATAAACATTACAGATACTATATTCAAAATATTAATTGCATAATTATTTAAACTAAAGACTTTTAGAGAATTAGCAGAAAGTTTGAATTTATTTAAACTAAAGATTCAAGGTTTCTTTGATTTGTAACATTGTAACAGTTACGTTTCTTTCTGTCTCCGGTTTATTACACTTCTTTTTTTTTCGAGTAAGGAATGTTTGTTTTGGTTTTCGCTCGGTAATTGCGCAACGTTTTTAGAAAGCCTGTCCGGACACAGTTTGTTCAACTTTAAACTTGGCGCTCGTTTTACTCGAGACCCAGATTTCTTTAACAATTCTTCTGTTCCAGGTATCCAGGAGACTGTGAAGCTGGTGGAAGCCGACGGAGGAAAAGCCCACGGCTACAAATGCAACATCGCCGACAGGGAATGCGTCTACAAGACCGCAGATCTTGTCCGAAAGGAAGTTGGAAATGTAAGTTTTTTTTATACTTTAGAAATTTAATTCCTAAAACTAAAAACCATGATTTCTTGAAGTTTACTTTAAACGTTCTTAAAAATAATGAAATATTATTATAAATTTTATATTTTAATTGATATTTTACATTGTTGGACAAAAATGCAAATTTAAATCTAATTAAATTAAGTTAAAGTGAAAAGAAATATAACACTAAATTAATAAATTAATCATTAAGAAATAGAGTTTCAAAAGTTTTATAGTAATCTTTCTATAGTTTTCTTAAGAATTCTAAAGGAAATGATGTAATAACGCTTTGGCAGAAAGCCAATTGTACTTTGTCCCATGAATATTAAATTTTTTGTGCATAAATACACATGAATACATACATTTTGTAGTAAAAATATATATTTTTTTTATTTAAAATCTACAATTAAATGATATAATTCATTAATTAGTGTTAAAACAATACAAAAATAGCAAATTTTGTTTATATTGCATTGAATTTATAGAAACTTGTTAAATATACAATGCACATACCTAGTTCAACGGCCTTCGATTAACAATTTACATATTCACTATTTTTCTTTTCACAATAAAAAAATGTGCGTTTCGATACATGCAATGAATTATTCTGGAAATAATAGTAAATCATCACTTATTCTTCTTTGATTTACCGATTTGTGTTTCATTCACACTAAAAATTCAATATATATATACAGTAGAACCTCGTTTAACGAGCAAAATGAATTGTAAGAAAAATTACTCGCTTAACGAACGAAGTTTCGCATAACGAGTGACAATGAGAAGAGAAGTCCCGGATTGCGCGACTTCTACATCATTTTTTTTAACTTGTCTACACATATTTAAATGTATTTTTGAATATGTTTCACTATACGAGTAAAAGGTTCCACTGTATAATTGTTTTAGTGTAAATGAACTACTATTTACTGGAATGAATATATAGTTTAAAAATAGTTCAAATTAATTAATAATTGTATAAGTTGTATATTTTCTAGAAAAACACGTTGATTTTAGTTGAATTTACTTTATGTTTTCTTAACGATAGATTTTCAATATTCAATTTTATAACAGAAATTATAAAAGAAAAACAATTTATAAAATCAACTGTTGAATATGAAAAAAATACTTGAAATTAATGTGTACTTATTCTATCATTTAGTGTAATTTAAAGTTATTATATAAGTTTCGTAGAACTTTTTTTTTATTTCTGCTCGCAACTTTGCGTGTCCATCGTTGCAACGGTTACGCAACAACATCTCTTCAATTGGTCAATCTCTAATTGCGTGTATTTACGTTTCTTCTTTGTTTTTTTCTCTCTCTCTCAGGTGACCATGCTGATCAACAATGCCGGCGTTGTTTCCGGTGAATTCCTGCTGAAGACGCCGGACCACTTAATCCAGAGGACCTTCGACGTCAACATCGTCTCCCACTTTTGGGTGAGTTTAAATAAAATAACAGATAAATGCGTATACGGAACAAACTGAAATTGTCCTATTTGATAATTCTATATTTTGTTCAAAATTTGTATCCGGGACCGAAATTACTCGACCTTCGATGTCACGTTTCGTTATTTGCTTTTACTAAATATTATTTATCAATATTTCTTACGATGTTCTTGATATTTGAACAACTGCAGGAAATGTTTGAATTATCAAGGCAACTGTTATTTAATAATTAAATGCCAACAAAATATCAAGACACGAAACGAAATTGAAAGTAAAATAATTATAATTTTTTTTTTGCTATTAATTTTATTATTATAATTTACAACTCACTTAAGACGTTCTAAGTTTATACATAAAATATGCAAATGAAGCAATACATTTTTTTTTCTAATACTGACAATTCTTTTTGGGAATTCCCAAATCATTCACTTTCTTGAAACGAATCGAACTTGCACTTTCGCGATTGATATTGATATTTGCTTGCGACAAACTCAAATCGTTATGTACATTGTGATAAATTGACACCTACCTACTCTATCCGTTACGCAATGATCTGCTGCTTGTGAACGCACACAGTGATTCAAGAAAAGAAAAAAAAGAAGTTAACTATGAAACGGGGACAGTGAACATTTTGCAAATAATTATCTGGCACTTATCATTGTCGCTATTAGTATTTGTTTATTTCACCATCAGCAAATATTACATAACACCTGCAATGAAAGTTGTGTAAAATATTTTGGGTGATGAATAATTTGGTAAAAGTATTTGAGAAACTATACAAATGTTTGATAGCCATTCAAATAAAAAAAACACTTAATTTGTATGTTTGTCTACGTTTATTAATTTCATTTTCCATCTGCAAATATTACATAACAATTTTTTTTATATAAATTGTACTAGGTAATCTAAATTAGTTCATCCAATGAAAGTTTTGGTCAAAATTATTTGAGAAAATTGCAAAAAAAAAATGACAAATGTTTGATAGCCAGTTTTGAAAGAAACCACCTAAAAACATTGTTTTCATTCACGAACTTGTAAGAAGGAAAATAACAAAGCGGACTAAAAATAAATTGAAACAAACATAACAATAATTTGCATATGCTAAGTGTTTTTTTACAGTTGCTTTTATTTATATAACTAATTAATGTTGATTGCTACATTCATGGTTTTTTGTGAACTGATTTTAGTTTTTAATTATTGTTAATTATATTAAGTCTCCTTGACTTTGCTCGATGTTATTGTATAATAATTTTTACAATCGTTTACCGAAGGTTAACCAATTATAAGCAAAACTAAACGTGAAACTTGTACAGGGCCATGTAAGGAGGTGGGATAAGCAACGAAAGGGGACGGCATTAACTGTGTTCACACATGGAATTCGACCGATCAAAGTTGAAAAAATGAAACAAATAACGCTTGAAAAAAGAACATTTTAGTGATTTTCTCGGAAACTATAATATATTTAATAGTTGCTTAAAAGATGCTTATTAATGCTGGATGATTGAGGAATGTATCGAGTAGTCAAACTTTGCTATGATTTCATCCATTTGGCTGTGTTAATTAATTGTTTTTTAACACTAGATTTTTTTTTAAATAGTTTGAAAATTCTTAAATCGGTTGTAATTGTTTTTATTGGAATGCAATGATTATGTATTTGGTAGATATATGAAGAAGTATTTTGAATTGCAACATCGTCGTGAATCGGGCTATGGAGACAAATGTTGAGCGCATATTTTCCTTGACACGCAAATGCAAAATCGTCCTTGCGCCCGAACGTCCTTTCACTACAACTGCTTATATGTATCATCTTTCTTTCCAGACCACGAAAGCCTTTCTGCCAAATATGATCGAGAATGATCACGGTCACATAGTGACGATCGCTTCGATGGCCGGACATGTGGGAATTTGCAAATTGGTCGACTACTGTTCCTCCAAGTACGCTGCCGTAGGCTTCGACGAATCCCTGAGAGTCGAGCTTGAGGTTCAAGGTAATATTACCTAAAATAAATAAACCACCCTCTAAATAACACTCTCTTATATCAAAACAGGTATCAAAGGAGTAAGAACAACGGTGGTCTGTCCATACTTCATCCAATCTACAGGCATGTTCGATGACGTTATGTCCAGGTTCGTTCCAACTCTGAAGTCCAACGACGTCGCCGATAGAATTGTATTAGGAATTCGAAGGGAAGAGCTGTACGTCATGATGCCAACACTGTTTCGCTACACCTTCTGGCTCAAATGGTAAGTTTAACCATCCTTCAGTTAGCTTGGAAATTAATTTGAACTGTTATTTGTAGGGTGGTACCATGGGGCATGGTCTCTATGTTCCTCAGAAACCTCGTACCAGATGCGTCTCCTCATCAAGTGGACGATAAAGTGAAATCAGAGAAACCTTTGGATAACGGCACCAAAGAGTCTAACCTCACTGCAATCGATTCCAATTTCCATTTGCACCAGAGGAAGTGATGACGAGCAACGCGTTAAACATCCATAAACTTGTGAATATAATAAGTGCGGACAATAAGTTCGGTTTCCTTCGTCAATCAAGGGATTGACCGACGACAATATCTAATCGGGTTTTCGTTCAATTACATAATTAATTAGTATTTAGACGCATTGGGGGCATATCGTTTGCAAATTTTCAGAAGAGCAATTGTGATACAAATAATGCAATTATTTTAATGTTCTCTACTACCGTTTTTATCAAAACTGAATATATTGTAAAACTAAATATATATATATTATTGTTTTTAAGTATGTTAACGTTAAGTAAATAAACAGAGATATTTTATTGATCCATGCACTTTATTATAAGCTAATGACTAGATTTCATATTTCTTTCATTTTTATTACTGGCAACAATATATGTGTACATAGTATTTAGGTAATACTGAAAACTCATCAAAAATAATACACGTAGGATGTACAGAATATAGATAAATTCAAAAATATATAAAATTAGTCTTGTAAACGCAACTTGATTACATCAAATTGCCTGTGAATGTACCGGAGAGGAGTGCCGTGATTCCTACTGCAGTCTTAACCCTGTTCATCGGAGGCATCGTTATCCGCACGGTGTTCCAAAGAGACATTGGTTTCAATGTTATGTAAATTTTTGAAAACTCTTTTTCAATCGTCCCAACTTTCATAAAAACTTCCGCTAAAAATAAATACGTTAATAAGCCTAAAGCGCAAGAAGTTAAGATTCAACCTCTGATCTTCGGGGAACGCATGATCCATAATGCAAAGACATATAAAGGTATATGTTGTAAAAAGAATCTGAGAATATCCAGAAGCGTGGTGGCGGTCAATAAAATCAGTCGTAGCTGCGAAATAAGTTTATCAAGAAATTTTCGAAAGAATTATGCTATATTATTACTTACAGCAGTAAAGACTGCGTAATATATGAAAACTGTGGGAAGAAGGAACAATAAAACGGTGAATCCCAGAGTACCAACGAACAACTGGTTGTGGGTGTACTCGCACGAATCCACCCTATTTCTCAACGGATTGTACTTTCTCCCAATGAACAGTTTCCACAATGAGCGTAAACCGTAAATCTGAATACCGTACAGTCTGCAAATGAAATGATTAATCTTCGATCGAGCAATAGAAGATATACGGTTTTCACCTGGCAGCGTAAACGTAAATGCAGTAAACGTGGAATGAAAGGAATCCTATTAAATCCGACATCAACGCTATCTGGAAGCTGACGCCCATAAGAGCTGGAATCGTGAAGAAATGAATGAGATCGATCAGAATCGAGTCAACGACGTAGATGAAAGCTCTCCAAAGAGCTATATGATAGAAGAAGAAAATTCCCAACGTTTTAGTCAAGGAATCGTTCAATTTCAAACCGGCCGGTGTATTCATCAACGAGTTCACGACTCCCATCAATCCCTCTATGATAAACTGCAATCCACTATTTAGCAAATTCCTTTCAAATTAATTGAAATCCAACAAACCTCAGCAGCTTCCTGAAACGAATTCAGAAAATACCTCTCGTATTTATAAAAGTAATACAGGGTGATCATTCCAAATGCAATATCAATGAACCGAGCTGTAATCAAATTCGCCTTCTGCAAAGATTCTTTATGGCTGCAATTAGGTTTCAATAGGAATTTGGCCATGAAAACATTCTTCTCAAATTGCCTGCAAATACTGGAATGCTTCAATATCTTCTCATTCTTATCAAACACCTGTAACATCAATCATTAGATCATCGAGAAGCAAACAAAATCCAATTGATTTACATGCAAAATATTGATGAACATTAAGGTGAACATCTTTTGCCACATGGATTCAGTCGGATCAGGCTCAACATGTCTGGCCTTCCTCACCATCTGAATAAATATACCATTTGCTTCATCCATAATCTGTGTTTTCTGCACAGTATTGTAGTTGTATTCAATTAAAACGTTTCCTTTGCAGCATCCATCGTAGTACACTTCCATGGTCTCACTGTTCACAAAAACCAAATCTTTGTTGTTCCTATTGTCCATTCCAAAATATCCAATGGAATTCTCCTCGTTTTTAGAAAGCTCATTTTTAGTGACGAAAACATGCAGATTTTCGTCTATCACTTCTGGAATCCCTGTGAGGAAGCCCTCCTTGCCTTTTAATCTACTAGGAAGATACACAAAGGTTTTCATTGTTGTTTAATGGCAGCAACCTTTTAATATAACCTAAAAACTAAGCGGGTTCAAATTTAAATGAACAAATACACCAACTTTAGTGTTATGCAACCAAATCAACATTTAAAAATGTATAATATTTACAAATTCGTTTTTAGATCCAATTTCCAAACTGCGAAATCAATATTTCTTGGAAATATTTAGATTAATATTAGTTAATTAGCAATGCAAAGAATGTAACTATTTCATAACAGTTTCAGAGCAATCTTGATATTTTTGATAACATTAAACAAATATACTATTATAATAATCTAGATAAGATATCAAATTACTTTATTGTGCATAAAACAAATATATGAATAATTTATTGAATAATTATATAAATATTTAAGTCATGTAATCTACAATTAATTGAAATAAAGGTCATTATTTATGTAAGAATTACTAAATCGATTTGATTGAAACATTAGTGTTGAACAAACGATGGACAAGTTTACAGTAATCCTCTTCCAAATCCTAGGTTTGGGTTCGTTCGCACGCAACAGCAAACTATCTAAGTTGTCTGTAACATACACGACGATCCTGGTTATACTAAATGTCTTAGGAGCTTTCGTCGTCTTACTGTACAGCAATTTAACTGTGAATTGCGCGTAAATGATTGAAACATTAAACTCTTGAAGATGATTAATGATGAACTTTCCTTTCAGTCAAAACGCGATGACTCGCTTCGGATTTTGGATGCAATTTTACGGAAGATTATACCTAGCATCTTATATACTTGTAAAGTCGATCCAAAACAAGGATCTGATACAGGACGTCCATGTAATTCTCAAACTGATGGATCAACACACTGCAGTTTGCAGGAAACATCTGAGAACCAGTCAAATCACGATGACTGTCTGCAATGTGATCATAGTTTTATCAACTGTGATCCTGCTCGTCGTTGATTGCGTGATTTTTCCATCGAACGCGAATTTCTTCATCATCTGGACAGCTTTTGTGCCGGGTCTCATCATTACGCTGTACATTACGTACATCACGAAACTTATTTATCATGCGAGCATCATGTTCAGATCTTTGAACGTTTACCTGAAAAGTTTCTGCACCGAACTCACGCTCGATTCGATCCAAAGTTTCACCAACGATTTGGGAACGTTCAATGTCACGCGTCTGCATGATTTCTTCATGAAGTACGACACGATCTTCGAAATGTGCGTCAAGTTGAATCGGATCTACGGAAGTTGCATGGTTCTGTACATGATGTTGAGTCTACACGGTGTAATCACGTTCTTGTACGTCGGTCAGCTGGAATTATCGAGCATCAGGAACAAATTGGGTTTGTTTTATAGAGAGCATCACTTCTCCGAATATTGGGCCATGTTATACGTGTTGAGTTAGTATTGATTCAGGAAAATGTAACATCTAGTTAACAAATCAATTTTTAAGGTATTTTCACTTTAGTCTTCATTGTGCATAAACTGAACGTGCAAGCTAGTCGCACGAAGACCATCCTGCATCAACTGAGATCCTGCTACAAAAACATCGGAGATGAAGTATTATTTATCTGTTCATCCATAAATCCATTTTAAAACTTATGAAATTGCAGACTTTCATCTTTTCGTTCCAATTGGAATTCAGTCGAGTCAATACTCTGGCTGCAGGATTCTTTGATCTGGATTACTCCGCTTTAGTTGGGGTAATAAAAAAAATCTCTTTAAATCCTCACATTCCACAACAGAAAAAAACTAAACTGAAATATGTTTCAGATGATTGGACTTTCCGTCAAATATTTATTTATCGTGATGCAATTCGACAGAGTAACGGTCAAAGAAGATTATTGACAACTTCGTTATTTCTTTGATGCGGAAATAATCGAAAGGTTTTTATTGAATTAAATACTTTTCCACGAAATACAATCGATAAACAGTTTCTTTAATATTCAAATTTGAGTTTGTTTTCGCTATTGTCTCCTCATTTCTATAACGCAAATTGACAGAGTAATGTTCACACGAAATAACAATAATATGCTTTTTTTATGAATCGCAAGAAAAAATTATATCAATTTTTATCAAAGTATTTTGTTAATAAAATATTTTGAATCAATTGCTCCGTTTTTATTTTCTATAAAATATTTGTTACATTCTTAAAATCTTCCATATTTGACCAATTGGTTAACTGAATAAATAAAATGAACATCTTTTCACAAACCATTACCCTGATAACGGAATTTTTATTTGTATATAATGAAACTTATTTAATGAATAATTAATAAACTAGATGAAATGTAATCAGTTCAAAGTGCGTTTGAATTAGATTAACTAACAATTGCTGTTGCAATATTGAAATTGTTAAGAATGTAATGAAAATCACATTTTTAGAATTCTTCATATATATTATATAATATTTAATTGCATACTTTTAATATGAAGGATTGATTTTAGGAAAATGATTTTCTTCCAACAGGAAATATTTACGCGTTATTTTTTCTAACAATTATAGTAAAAACGAACTTAGGAAAATTACTATTTCAATTATTCAAAAAGTAGCATAAAAACAACGATAAAATATGCATTAAAACGTGTACAATAGTTATTTTTTCATTTATATTCAATATTTTTTCTCAAATAGGGTCAACCGGATCAGATGACGGGAATGTATATAAAATGGGAATGTTGAAGAAACGTTAACAACGTTTACAATAATTATACTTCGATTGCAACGATGAGCGAAACCAATGCGAGGAGACTGGAGGCAGGAATACAACTGGCCGATGCACAGCCAGGCGAAGAGGTCATCATTGCAGGTGGACTGAAAGTTATTCATCGTTATAATATACATATTTAAACTGATTTTTTTAGGGATTTCTGGAAGGTTTCCCAACTCGAATAACGTGGACGAGTTTAGAGAAAATCTGATGAACAAAGTGGATCTCTGCGATGACGACAGTCGACGTTGGGTGCACACGCATTCCGAGATTCCAAAACTCGCGGGGAAGATCAATTTGACGGAGAAATTCGATCCGGGTTTCTTTGGGGTGCACAGTGCGCAAGCCGAATGCATGGACCCTATGGTGAGGATGTCCATGGAGAGAGCATACGAGGCTTTCATCGATGCCGGAATATGTCCCGAAGAAGTGAAGGGATCGAGAACTGGAGTATTCATAGGGTCGTGTTACTCGGAAGCGGAGAAAATAATCATTTACGATCAGCTGAAACCTCAGACCTACGGCTTCTCTGGGTATGCAAGATCCATGTAAAGCAAACAAAAATTTGTTGTTATTGAGTGCTTTTTCTTTGGGTCATAGTTGTTCACGATCGATGTTGGCGCAGAGGATCAGTTACGCTTTCCAATTGATCGGTCCATCTTTGATCTGCGACACGGCGTGCAGCAGCGGTATGTATGCTTTCGAGCAAGCCTACAGATCCATACGTGAAGGAAAATGTGACATGGCTTTGGTTGGAGGAGCGAATTTGTGCTACAGCCCTTACGTGACTCTGCAGTTTGCTCGGTACGTTTCAATTATGTAAAACAGAAATCAAATTGATTTGATGCATTATTTTTTTTTTAGTTTGGGCGTTTTGAACATGAACACAGGCTGCAGACCCTTCGACGAAAACGCTACCGGTTACACAAGATCCGAAGCTATTGTCATGGTACTTCTGCAGAAAAAGAAGCACGCCAAAAGAATATACGCTGAGGTAATAACAGTTTTAGGTTCATCGTGCAACTGATTCAACAATTTGTTTAAAGGTTGTACATTGTAAAGTGAACGTCGATGGTTACAAGGAGCAAGGAATCACGTATCCTTCCGGTGAAGTTCAGACGTCACTTCTTAGAGATCTTTACGAGGAGTGCAAAGTTTCACCAACTACAGTGGCTTTTGTAGAAGCTCACGGAACAGGTACTTAAAGCCAACAAAAAGAAAACAACTTTGATTTATTAAAAACATATAATTATTAAAGGGACAAAAGTCGGAGATCCTGAGGAATTGAACGCCATCGACAACTTCTTTTGCACAGGCAGAAAAAATCCCTTGCTTATTGGATCTGTGAAAGGAAATATAGGTCATTCAGAACCGGCCTCGGGTCTTTGCTCCATCGTTAAAGTAAATAATCTGGATCATCAATATTCTTAATAATCCAATAATTTCAATTCAAGGTCATATATGCAATGGAAACTGGTATAATACCACCGAACATTCATTGTGAAAACCCGAAGAAAGACATCAATGGCTTGGAAACTGGTAGAATTCACGTGATCACGGAGAAAACGCCGTGGCCAAAGATCAGTAATCTGGCTGCTTTGAATTGCTTCGGTTTCGGTGGTGCCAATTCTCATATCCTCTTGAAGAGACACGAAAATACAAAGTTGAGACCCGAAGACCATCAAATTAGACTGGTGTGCTATAGCGGAAGAACGGAAGAATCTATGCAAAGTTATAGGGATTTCTTTAAAAACAGGAAACTCGACTACGATTCAATCGCATTGTTCCACTCTGCTTTCCGGTAATTATCAATTTTATTCAAACGCCTCGACTAATTTGTGTTATTATTTCCTTTTAGTAAAAACATTTCGAACAATATTTATCGAGGATTCTCGTTGATCTCGGAAAATGGTGAACTGCATAGTTCTTACACCCACGTGTTTGATCAAAAGGAGCTTCACCTATTCTTGAGCGGTTCAAGGCTTTACCACATTGAAGTCTTGAAGGAGATGGAAAAATTCACATTCTTCGCAAATTTAATAAACGAGTAATTTATTGCTATTTAATACGTATGTTCCATAAATTTAATGCATCGGATTTTTAGGTATAAAGAAGCGTTGAAGAGGAACCAAATTTCTGAAGATATTTATAAAAAGGGAACGAACGTCGTGTTTGCAACTGTGTGTTTGCATTATTGTCTAATAAAGATGTTGAATAGTTTGAATATTCCATTGGTAACAGTCGCCAGTTCGTCTTTAGGTGAATTCACGGCTGCTTATGCTGCTGGCGTTTTAAGTTTGGATGAAGTTATCTTGGGAGTGAAGGGAATCAATAAGATTTTAGCGGAAAGTAAGATGATGGAAGCGGATTTGCCGAGGAAGCTGTTGCAGGAGTTGAAGGAAGTGTTGCCGAGAAAGGTAACAAAGAAAACTATGGTTCAGAAGCCGAAGAGTAATGGATTTGATTACGCTACCGCTGAGTACTTTGTCTACAATATATTGAATCCATCAGTTGTGAAAGAGTATAGATGGGATAAAGAAGCATTGGTAATAGGCGTAGATTTCGATATTAATCAAACGTCTGTGCAAGTGCATCAGCTAATTCACGATAAAATGAAGCTGAAGGATATGTTGATAAACTTGGGACAGTTGTATCTTTTGGGAGTTGACGGTGATTGGAGTAAATTATATCCTGCAATTAAATGGCCGGTCAAGCAAGGAACTTCGATGCTCTCGCCTCTGGTAAAGTGGAATCACGACGTAAACTTGTTAATTCCGACTCCAGAAATGTGTACCAAGGATCCAGAACAACACACTTTCATCAACATTATGAATATCGATTCGTCGTTTTATAAAGGACACGTCATAGATGGTAACCTTAATGTATAGTTTAGTATGTGACAATATGTATTTTTTTTTTGCTTCTCTCTTAGGAAGGACCTTATTCCCTGCCACAGGTTATCTTTACCACATATGGGAGTTATACGCTTTGATCGGTGGAGTTCTTCCCGAAAACCAGAAGATCTGCTTTGAGAAAGTGAAGTTTCATAGGGCCACGACTTTTTCAAAAGATGGCATTATAAACTTGTATCTGGTGATTCACGTAAGCGGGCATTTTGAGGTGTCCGAAAACAACACCACTGTTGTCACCGGAAGAATATTTGATGTGGACAATACCGATATCGCATACGAAGGTAAACCCAATGACCCGAACTTGCCGCTGCTGAAGCAAAAAGACATCTACAAAGAACTCAAGTTGAGAGGCTATAATTACAAGTAAATAATGATTAAAAATGTATATTCGCCACATAAAAATATTTCACTTTAAACAGAGGACACTTCAAAGCGCTCCATGAAGTTTGTGGCAACAACGGCCTAATCGAATGGACAGGAAACTGGATTACGTTCTTGGACAACATGCTGCAACTTTTCATAGTCCAAAAAGACTCGAGGAGTTTATACGTTCCGACCGGTCTTGATCGACTGGTCATAGACGCCAAAGCTCACGTAGCTGAAGCCGAGACTTTAGGAGAACAACAGTTAATACCTGTCGAATTAGCGTTGGATGGAAAAATTGCAAGGTTTATAATAATTAATTAAAATTGAAAAGTCAACTAATCTCGTTAATTTCAGGACCAAGCACATCGAAATTAGATCGATGAATGCGAACGCAATTTTACGAAAAAAAACTACCTACAGTCCAGTTCTTGAAACGTACAAATTCATCCCAAACGATATTCAAGTGGGAATAGAGGATTCTCTAAGAATAAACGTTCACATCGTTCTCGAAAATAAATCATCAATGCATGTAAAAGTCGTTGAGAAATTTGATGAGAACTCATCAAAACTTCAACCTCTCAGCGAACATGTTTTAAATATTTTAGGTGATCTACCATTGATCCAACCGGATTTGCATATCGTTACCGATAGATCTGTGGATGAGATCAAAGGTATTCAAGTCTCTGAGAATTTTCCGGATCAGAATAATTCGCAGATTTACATCGGTTCAAATTTGATGGGAGATGCCCAATGCATACAAGAGGCCTTAACAAGAATCTTGGATGATGGTTATATAATATCCATCGATGATACTGCTGCTTCGGCTCCGGAAGGTTTGACAATTCTGACGAAGCACCAGTTACCTTCTGGGGAATACGTGCATCTCTTAAAGAAAAGCGGAAAGCAAGTGGAACGCTTTTGCTTGAAAGTGATCGACGATTTTGGAAGCTGGATTCCAACGTTACAATCTCATATCAATTCCGGAAAAAACGTATTGTTATACTCAGAAAATGATCAAACAAACGGTATTCTCGGTTTAGTGAATTGCCTGAGGCGCGAAGCAAATGGTAAAAATATTTCTTGCGTTTTCGTGCAGGAAGGAAACGGTTTCGATCTTGAAAACGATTTCTTTAAGACGCAATTGGAGAAGGGCATGGCTATAAATGTGCTTCGAGGAAACATCTGGGGCACCTATAGACACGTACTCCTAAACGAAGAGTCAAAGACTGATAGCAACAACTGTGATCATTACTACGCTAAAATTATGACATTAGGTGATCTATCCTCGCCTTGGAGATGGGTGCAAGGTCCGCACACCAAGCAAGACCTGTTAAAAAATAATAACTTAATTCAGGTAGGCAGTTAGAGCTTTATTGATTTTCTTTCTTTCTACAACTAAAGTTTACAGGTGTCTTACTCGGCTATTAACTTTAGAGATGTAATGGTGGCTTCCGGAAAAGTGCCGGTCGATGCTGTAACAACCAAAAGAGTTGCCCAAGATCGTATTTTGGGCTTCGAATTCTCCGGTAAAAGATTAAGGTAATTGATTGGTTTAAATGGAACAATTATTAAGATATATTTATACAAATTTCAGCGGGGAAAGAGTTATGAGTTTGCTGACTGGTGGTGCAATATCTAACTTAGTTGAATGTGATCCTAACCTGACGTGGAGAGTCCCAGACGATTGGAGTTTGGAGGAGGCGGCGACAGTTCCTGTGGTATACGTAACTGTTATCGTAGCAATGAAATTGGTAAGTTTCATAAGATTATTCTACTTTGTGTTATATACATTATTTTAGAAAGGAAAAGTAAAGCGTGGTGATTCAATTCTGATCCATTCGGGAACTGGAGGCGTGGGCCAGGCTGCAATAAATTACGCCCACTACTGGGGTTGTGACATCTTCGTGACGGTTGGAACGAAAGAGAAGAGGGAATTCTTGCTCAAGCACTACCCGTTCATCAAGGAATCGCACATAGGTAATTCGAGGGACACCACCTACGAGCAAATGGTCCTGAAGGAAACGCAAGGACGGGGCGTCGATCTCGTCCTGAACTCTTTGGCAGAAGAGAAACTCGCCGCTTCTGTGCGTTGTTTAGCTCAGGGCGGTCGCTTCTTGGAGATCGGCAAGTTCGACTTGGCGAGCAACAATCAATTGGCTTTAAATTTGATGGCAAAAGGATGCACCTTCCATGGCATTATGTTGGATGTGATGATGAATAACCCGGGAAATTTGCAATCAGAAATATACAACGACATGGTGTTTGGACTGAAAGCGGGATTCATTAAACCTCTGATTAGAACTGTATTCAAGAAGTCTCAATTGGCGGAGTCTTTTAAGTTCATGTCTACCGGTAAACATATGGGTAAAGTTCTCATTAAAATCCAAGACGACGAAGATACGATAGAGAAGAACTTTATTTTCTCCAGGTATAAAATTACTATAACCAATACAAATTGTCTTTGATTGAGTGTTGAATGTGCAGATTCTATTGCGAACCAAATGGATCTTACATAATACTTGGAGGTTTAGGAGGATTCGGCTTGGAATTGGCGGATTGGTTGGTGCTGCGCGGCGCGAAAACGTTAATTCTATCATCAAGAAACGGAGTTTGCACTGGTTATCAAAGTCACAGGATTAAGTACGTAACAAATATAATTGTCTACACTGTTTAAATTAATTTCTTTTTTAGGGTTTGGAAATCGTACGGTGTTAAAGTTATCATTGCTTTAGATGATATTGCTACGTACGAAGGTTGCGAAACACTGATGAGGAGAGCAGAAGATGTAGCTCCGGTCCGAGCCTTTTTCAATTTAGCCGTAGTTCTTAAAGATGCTGTATTCGATAATCAGACTGTCGATAACTTTAAAATTTCGATGTCCCCCAAAGCCACAGCCACCAAACACTTTGATAAGATCACGCGTGGTTCGAAGAGTTTGAAGCATTTCGTGGTGTTCTCATCGGTTTCTTGTGGAAGAGGTAACGCAGGGCAAAGCAATTACGGTATGTCCAATTCGGTGATGGAACGCGTCTGCGAGATGCGTCGCAAAGACGGCTTTCCTGCTGTCGCGATACAGTGGGGAGCTGTTGGCGATGTGGGCTTGGTGGCCGACATGCAGAAAGATCAAAGCGAGATCGCCATTGGTGGTACTCTTCAGCAGAGGATCTCCAACTGCTTAGATGTCATGGACGGATTCCTGTACCACGATGAAGCCATAGTTTCGAGCATGGTCGTGGCGGAGAAGAGCGGTTCGGGAAACGCTGATAATCTGGTCGATGCGGTTATTGATATCATTGGTTTGAGAGATTTGAAGACGATTAGTTTGCACAGCACTTTAGCAGAACTGGGTATGGATTCGATGATGGCCGTGGAGATTAAGCAATGCTTGGAAAGGGAATACGATATCTTCTTGTCGGCGCAGGATATGAGAAGTTTAACATTTGCCAAGTACTTGATTTAGTTTTGTTAATGTCTATAGTTACTAACGTAAAACTGTTTCAGATTAATAGAAATGAATGATACGAAGAGTGCCAGTGTCATTGTTAACGAGGCAAACATTTTTGATTCTTTCGGAATGCTTTTGGATAAATTCTTAGATGTTGAGAATATGAACGTACCATTGATTCAGTACAAGGACGCAATGGAAAGCGATGATTTTATTATCGTTTTTCCGGGCGTTGAAAGTACCTATATGGGAATGCGTGTAATAAATAATAACATGGAAAAACCATCTATCTGCGTGCAATACACTTCTCAAATCGATATCACCGATGTCGACGTATTAGTGGATAAAATACTCCAAGTAATTCCACAAAGTTAAATAGAAAAATCCCACAATTAAATTGTGTGTATTTTCAGGATTTTGGTGATAAAATAACCAAAGCTAAGAACTTCAAATTCGTGGCTCACTCATTCGGAAGCATGGTAGCTTTGAAACTGGCCCATCGATTAGAAGCTCTTGGTCAAGTTGGTAAAATAGTCCTAATAGATGGTTCACCGGAGCTGATGGACCACTTCTTCAAACTCCTCTGTGCAACAAGCGACAATCAACTGGAAACAGCCGTCATCTTATCATTAATGCCTATGTTTACAACTCAAGAAACCATCGCCAAATTATCGGTGAGCAATTCAAGAATAAGTTTATACCACCAAAACTAACCTCAAGTTCAACAGGAATCAATTTTGGCTGCGAAAGATTATCAAGCACGACAAGAGTTGGCTGCGAGTGCAATACCAAAGGATTCGCCAATCACCAAAGAAGTCGCTTTTAAAATGGGACAGTTAATCTTGAATATAGTCAAATCTATATTGAACTACAAGAATTTCCAAGATAAATTAAAGTCTGAAGTGGTGCTTTTCAAACCAACAGTGGCTATTATCAATGACATCGCTGAAGACTACAATCTGAACGCGTTGTGCGAGAATACAGTTAGAATCGTTACATTTGATGGTGATCATCGGACCATACTGAGTAACAGTAGCATGCACAAAGAACTGAACAATATTTTCTAAGCTGCTTCTATGAATAACAGTGTTGGGAGTGTTGGGAAGTATTATTATTTATTTTAGTCCTTTGCAGCAGTTAACTTGTTTTTTTTTAATATTTATATAATCAATGTATTTGTATATGCACATTTTTTGTATGTATGAAGTAAATTTACAAAAAAACACAAACAGTCTTATTTATATTCACTGTTTTGAACCTTTCTAATTTAAATCTATTGAAAAACAAAATTGCATCAAAATTATTTTAATAAAATTTCCAAATCGGATGAGTTGCATTTTATGATTTTGGAGGGTCACAATAGAAAATATAAATATCAAATGCATTCAAAGCAAAGTTGAAAGTTCAATATTTGGAAAATATATACATTGTCTATTTTAAATTTGCATTTTAAATTTAGTGGACCTCTTTCTATATATTCACTCGAAAAGAACAAATCGCGTAGTCTTGAAGCTTGAAGGCAATTGCCAACAAGAGACTTAGATAAGAAAATTTCATTCTTAAGTTACCAATGTGGATTATAAATTAACGAAATGAGCAAATCACGTAGATTTGAAGCTGGAAGGCGATTGGCCACAAAAGAAGCAGGAGAAGAAATTGTCATCGCAGGTTTGAATCATTAAAAAAAAATTTAAAATATAAATTAATGTTGATTTGATGCAGGGATTTCCGGTAGATTCCCCAAATCTGATAATGTCAAGGAGTATAAAGAGAATTTGATGAACAAGGTGGATATGTGCGATGACGATGAACGACGTTGGAAGCACACCGATCCGGAGATTCCAAAGTTATCAGGAAAAATAAATCAACCGGAAAAGTTTGATACTGGTTTCTTTGGTGTTCATCGAATGCAAGCCGATGAGATGGATCCAATTATCCGTATATCTTTAGAAAGTGCGTTCGAAGCTTTCGTTGATGCAGGTATGAGTCCTGAAGACGTTAAAGGTTCCCGAACTGGAGTTTTTGTTGGATCGTGTAACTCGGAATCTGAAGTCATCAATTGTTATAATAATTTAAAACCAAAAGGTTACAGTCTCGTAGGGTACATGGAAATAAAAGGTAGTCACTAAATTAATAATTGATATCTAATCATTCTTCAGCTGTACGAAATCTATGATAGCACAAAGGATAAGCTATGCTCTGCAGTTAAATGGTCCTTCTATGGTATGTGACACAGCATGCGGCAGTAGTTTACAAGCTATGATTCAAGCTTACAAGTCAATTTGCGAAGGAAAATGCGATATGGCTATAGTGGGTGGAACGAACTTGTGCTTCAATCTCAATATTGCTTTGCAACATGCACGGTACTAGAACTAATTATTAAAAAAAAATGCGAATAACACACTTTCTGATTTGCAGGCTAGGTGTTCTGAACATGAACACAGGATGCAGACCATTCGATGACAACGCTAGTGGTTTTACTAGATCTGAGGCAATCGTTATGATTCTCTTGCAGAAGAAGAAATTTGCTAAACGAATTTACACAGAAGTCGTGCATTGCAAATCAAATGTAGATGGATACAAAGAACAAGGAATATTGCAACCATCCGGTGATGGATTTTCGCTTCTCTTCAAAGAGATATATGAAGAAGCGAACGTTTCCCCATCGACTGTTGCCTATATCGAAGCTCATGGAACTGGTAAATACTCAAAAAAAATAATTAAAATATATTATTAACATATTGTTCTGTAGGCACGGTTGTCGGAGATCCCTTGGAAGTGAACCGCATTAACGAGTTCTTTTGTCCGGGAAGAGAAAACGCGTTATTCTTAGGATCATGCAAATCCAATACAGGTCACACCGAACCTGCTTCTGGTCTTTGCAGCATGATAAAAGTGAATACTAATACTTATCTATTCTAAAATTCCATAAAAATCTATCAAATTTCAGTTAATTTGTGCGATGGAAAGTGGAATTATTCCACCAAATATAAACTTCGATAAACCGAATAAAAATATCAAAGCACTTTTGGATGGCAGTATTAAGGTGGTGACAGAGAAGACTCCTTGGCCGAACGACATGAATTTTGCTGCTGTCAACAATTTTGGATTTGGCGGTACCAATTGTCACGTCTTATTGAAAAGACCCGACGAAAATAACAGAAAAAGACCATTTGACAATCAAGCTACATTAGTGTGTTATAGTGGTAGAACTACTGAATCCATGCAAACCTACAGGAACTTCTTAATATCGAAAAATTCTGATTACGATTCAGCAGCTTTAATACATTCGATTTTCAAGTAACTATAAAACTTATCAAATAATCAAATAAATTTACCATTATTGCATTTAGAAAACGAATTGAAAATGATGATTATCGCGGATTCTCTTTGATCGATTCATCTGGGGAATTGCATAATTCGTATAAATATGTACCAGAAGGACCAAGGAACTTCATTTATTTTTAAACGGCGTTAAACATCATCATTTGGAAATCCTTAAGCAGATGCAAACAGTCCATTTTTTTCGTGATTATATTAATGAGTAACTTTTATGAAATACAGGATATATCAAACTTATTTACTTTTATGTTTACATTTTCTAGATTCAAATTAGCTTTGAAAAGGAATAATATCTCTGAATGTTTTGATGGACCAAACGAACTATTTGGAACTATTTGTTTGCACTATTGCTTAATACAAACTTTCAAAACATTGAATGCTCCTATTTGTAAAATTACTTACTCTTCAATTGGCCAACTAACTGCTGCATATGCTGCAGAAGTTCTTAGTCTGGATAACGTTATTTTGATAGGAAAAGGATTGATTGGAAAAAGTAATGGAACATTAATATCTTTGCTTGAAGAATTCAGACTAATCCAGCTGCAAAAGGAAATAAGTAAATTTACATTATCAAAAAAACAAACTGATAATTTTCAATATGTTACTGACAAATATTCGGTGAGCAACTTCCTCAATTACTCTCCAAATGAGTGGAACGTCAAAAATGTGATTATCGGTGTAGATTTTGAAAGTGCAGAAGATTCTCTACAAATAATTCACATGATTCGCAGAGATATGACTGTAAACGATATGTTAATTGAATTTGGAAAGTTGTATGAATTGGGAATCGATTTCGATTTGGGAAAGTTGTATCCGATTCAATGGCCAGTTAAGAGAGGAACGGCGATGATTTCTCCATTGATCAAATGGAAACATGATCATGACTTTCGGACACCATTATGTCAGGTTGTTGAAAATAAAAACGCCGAAAAACATATTATGTTAAATACATCCAATAATGATTTACGGTTCTATAAAGGGCACGTTCTTCATGGTATGAGATAGAGCGCTTTTAGTAACTAATAGTGTTAAAAAATATTGTTTTGTAGGAAGAACGGTGTTTCCTGCTACTGGATATTTATTTTTAATATGGGAATTCTACGCTGCAAATAAGGGCAGATCACTGCAGAATATGAAGATCTGCTTTGAAGACATCAGATACCATACAGCCTCGACGATAGCTAAAGACGGCACAATTAGCCTTTATTTGATCATTCAAAATAGCGGGTATTTTGAAGTATCCCAAAGAAACACAATTTTGGTTACAGGTAGAATCTTTGAAGTCGAAACTTGCGATATAGCATACGAAGATGCAATGATTGATCCCAATTCGCCAGTGCTTACAGATAAAGATATTTACACGGACATGAATCTAAGAGGGTACAACTACAAGTGAGTTCACAGTATTTTCAGATTTATACAAATAAATAACATTTATTTCACCAGAGACCAATTTAAAGCTATGCAAAAGGTTATTGGAAACAAAGCTTTCATCGAATGGACTGGTAATTGGGTAACATTCTTGGACAACATATTGCAATTCATAATGTTTCAAAAGGATACTAGACACTTGTACATACCTATAGGATTAGCTAAACTTATAATCGATGCCAAAGGTCATATGGAGCAAGTCAGAGATTTGGGCAAAGGAAATACAATACCTGTGGAAATTAATTACAATATTGCTAGGTCGAAAAATATAGAAATAACATCTTTGTATGATATGATCGAACTGACAAAGAAACCATTTAACGATATATACCTCAAAGCAGATCACGAACATCAACGGTATTAAAATAACAAATATAATTCCTAAAGAAAAAAGCGCGTTAATTTGTATCGGATATAATTTGTTAGGTAACTATGAAGGTATGCAAAGAGCTTTAGCTTATATAAGTAAGGATGGTTACATAATGTCTTTCGATAAAGTGGAGGCTCCTCTTAACGAACACTTAACTATATTGACTAAATACAAATTACCATCAGGGGTATTTATTCATTTATTAAGAAGAACTAAAGAATATCAAGAACCTATTTATATTGAAGTAAACGATGATTATAAGTGTTGGCTTCCTCAAGTGCAAAACAGTTTGAAGTCCTCGAAGAGAATCTTGCTTTATTCCGATAAAGATCCGACCAATGGTATATTGGGTTTAGTTAACTGCTTGAGGTGCGAAGATGGTACAAAAAATGTGTACTTTGTGTTCATTCAGGAAGGAAGGAAATTTAATGAAAAAAGTGAGTTTTTCAAACAGCAACTGCAGAAGGGCCTGGCGTTTAACGTATTAAGAGGAAGCACCTGGGGCACTTACCGACATATGTTGTTGAATCATGCAGAAAAATTAGAATTCCAAAAGTGCGATCATTACTACGCAAACGTGCTAAACATTGGAGATCTTTCGACTTTATCTTGGTTAGAAGGATCAATTAAAAGTGAACAAACATTAAATAATAATAATTTCGTTGAGGTATTAAAATGGAAGTAAATTTAAACTTCTATTAATTATTTTATTTCTAGGTTTATTATTCTGCTATTAACTTTAGAGATATCATGACAGCTTCAGGTAAAGTACCAGTTGATGCAGTGTCAAAGAAGAGAAATGTACAAAACAACATCAATGGTTTTGAATATTCAGGAAAGAAGCTTGAGTATTACAAGAAATTTGCTTAATATGATTGTTACTATTAAATTGATTGCATTTCAGTGGAACAAGAGTAATGGGTTTTCTAGTTGGTGGTGCTATTTCTAATATAATAGAAAGTGATCCAGTATTGATGTGGAACGTACCAAATGGATGGAGTTTGGAAGATGCGGCCACTGTTCCTGTGGTATACGCAACTGTCATCCTGGCCATGAAATTTGTAAGAAATTTAATAAAATCATAAACATACTTTGACTTTTATTATGTCAGAGAGGAAACGTAAAGAAGGGTCAAACCGTGCTGATACATTCAGGAACCGGAGGTGTCGGTCAAGCGGCCATCAACTGTGCTCATCATTGGGGTTGCGAAATTTTTGTAACAGTCGGTACAGAAGAAAAAAAACAATTCTTCCTACGACAATACCCGTTCTTGAAAGAAACGCACATCGGTAATTCTCGAAATTCAACGTTCGAGCATATGGTTATGAGAAATACCGGTGGACGAGGTGTTGATATTGTGCTAAATTCTTTGGCTGAAGAAAAACTTGAAGCTTCAGTTCGCTGCTTATCTGCAGGCGGTTGCTTCTTAGAGATTGGCAAGTTTGATTTGGCGCGATGTAGCAACTTGGCTTTAGATTTAGTATCTAAAGGTTGCACTTTTCATGGGTTCATGTTGGATGCTTTCACTGTCGCTGCAGATAATATTAAAAGATGTGTGTATAATATGATGCAGGATGGAATCGACGATGGATATGTTAAACCTCTAGTAAGGATGGTTTTTGAGAAATCAAGCTTGGAGCAATCATTTAAGTACATGTCAACTGGTAAACACATTGGCAAAGTACTTATAAAAATTAGAGAAGAGGTTCCTTCTCCTAGTATAAACGAAGAAACTAAGATAGTTTTACCAAGGTAATATAGTAACAAAATCCAAAAATAATTGTAGATACTATTATTTTTTAGATTCTCTTGTGAGCCGATTGGTTCTTATATAATATTAGGTGGTTTGGGGGGTTTTGGATTAGAATTGGCGGATTGGTTGGTGCTGCGCGGCGCAAAAACTTTAATAATATCTTCAAGAACTGGAGTTAAAACTGGTTATCAGCAAAACAGAATTAAGTGAGTTATTTGTAACTTTTTTTATTGTTTATTTATTATTAATTTTAGGATTTGGCAATCGTATGGAGTTAATGTAATTATTGCACTCGAAGATATTTCTAATTATGAAAATTGTAAAAAACTGATAATTAAAGCAGAAAATGTTGCTCCGGTTTACGGATTTTTCAATTTGGCAGTTGTATTAAGAGATTCTATGTTGGAAAACCAAACTGCAGAAAACTTTAAGTCCTCAATGTTAGCGAAAGCTGTGGCTACGAAACATTTCGACAAGATCACCAGGTCCTCAAAGACGTTAAAACATTTCGTGGTATTTTCTTCAATTACCAGCGGAAGAGGTAAATTGGGTCAGACAAACTATGGTATGGCCAATTCTTCGATGGAAAGAATATGTGAGATGAGACGAAAAGATGGATTCCCTGGTTTAGCTATCCAATGGGGTGCAATTGGAGATGTCGGAATAGTAACTCGTTTGCAGAAGTTGCACGAGGATGTTGTTCTATCTGGTACTATCCAGGGAATTTCTAGTTGTTTGGAAGTTCTTAATGACTTGTTGCTGCAAAACGAGCCTGTAGTTTCCAGTTTTGTGCTTCCTAAAAAAATAAACGAGGAGAATGCACATAGTCTTGTCGTCGACGTTTTCAAATTTTTAGGTCTTCGTGATATAAAGACAGTCAGTCCTAATAGCACTCTCGCCGAACTTGGTATGGATTCGATGATGGTCGTCGAGATACGGCAATTGTTGGAAAATAACTATGCTATCTTTATGAAAGCAAATGAGATACGAAACCTAACTTACACAAGGTAACTATTAAATATAAAAATGTTGAATAAAATATTTTTTTTTCTTGTAGATTGACGGAAATTAGCAACAAACTTACTTGACCTACATGGACGATATTCTATTTTATTTTAACTATTTCTACTTTAGTTGATTTTCATATTTACAATTTTTGTTCATTGAAATTTTTAAAAATAAAGTTACGTTAATTTGAATTGGATAACAAATATTGCTAAAGCATTAAATATCTTAACTGCACTTGGAAAATATTTGTCTAAAGGGTCACAAAGACAGAATGTTGTTTCATGTTTAACCACTCTGTAAACCGTTATCTTATTATTATTATTATTGAACGTGTTTGCAACTCAAAAAACCGTATTAAAAATATCGCAGAGCCTTTCAACCGGAGTTTAATAGGAATCAACTTTGAATGTGAAAGATTATCGAGTGCGCAAAGAATTGACTGTGAACAATGTTATTCAAACAAACAGTCGAATGAAGGGATCCCTTTCGTAGCGCCTGGTTGCAGTTAAGCTTTGAGAAGTTTGCGAGCCTAATCGCAAATATATATGATTGAGAATGTATATCCCTCGCTCAATTAGCGAGGTCAACAGGCCCAAGGGCCTGCCTACCGATACCCCCTTAGCTCGGGATAAGTCGGCTCGAGATGGTGGAACCGCCACAGCCCATGATAGAGGTAGTGGGTCTGCAATAGACGCACTTCCCCATCCCCTGCCCATATTCAAAAGGACAGTGGCAATCATCAAGAACATTGCCGAAATTTATAAATAGAACGCCTTGTACAAAAATTATAATTCTTACCTGTGATAGACATATTGAGATGCGGGTGCTTCCGTAAAAATATGATCATGATTTCCAAAGTTGCTTATATGGATAAGAGTTTTGGGAAATTATTATTTTCATTAATATTTATAAAATTTTATTGTAATTGTAAAAGACAAAAGAGTTTGGTCGATATATGAACTTGTGAATATGGATTTTTTTATGAAGAAATAATTACTTTCACATTTTGAAGAATAAAAATAAATATTTTTGCATTTTATTTTTTTAAACATAAGATATTCAATAGGTATGTATTGAATATTTGATAAGGTTAGCAAGGTTAACTAAATGAACTATATAAAACAGAAATGCAATTGTTTTTGTATCAGAAGTTCGAAATGAGCGATTTGCGAAGACTTGAAGCTGGAAGGCGATTGGCCGCAAAAGAAGCAGGAGAAGAAATTGTCATCGCAGGTTCGATTCTTTAAGTAATTACAAAACAACAACAAATAATTATCATAGATATGATGTAGGCATTTCCGGAAAATTACCTAACTGTAACAATGTGGAGGAATACAAAGAGAATTTGATGAACAAAGTGGATATGTACGATGACGACGAACGACGTTGGAAGCACACCGATCCGGAGATTCCAAAGTTAGCAGGGAAAATAAATCAACCGGAAAAGTTTGATACAGGATTCTTTGGTATCCATCAAACGCAAGCCGAAGAGATGGACCCTATTATTCGTATCTGCTTAGAAAGTGCGTACGAAGCTTTCGTTGATGCAGGAATAAGTCCTGAAGACATTAAAGGCTCCAGAACTGGAGTCTTTATTGGATCGTGTTACCCGGAATCTGAGGTCATCAACTGTTACAAGAATTTAAAACCACAAGGTTACAGTGTCGTCGGGTAAATGGTAATGTTAACTGATTGATTAATAATTGATATTTAATCGTTTTTCAGCTGTACGAAATCAATGATATCACAAAGGATAAGCTATGCTCTGCAGTTAAATGGTCCTTCTATGGTATGTGACACAGCATGCAGCAGTAGTTTGGAAGCTATGGTTCAAGCTTACAAGTCAATTTGCGAAGGAAAATGTGATATGGCTATAGTGGGTGGAACGAACTTGTGCTTCAATCTCAATATTGCTTTGCAACATTCACGGTACTTAAACTTAAAAAATATTTCAAAAAAAAAAAACAACACAATTTTTGATTTCCAGACTAGGTATTCTGAATATGAACACAGGATGCAGATCTTTCGATGACAACGCTAGTGGATACACTAGATCTGAAGCGATCGTTATGATTCTCTTGCAAAAAAAGAAAGTTGCTAAACGAATTTACACAGAGGTCGTACATTGTAAATCAAATGTAGATGGATATAAGGAACAAGGAATATTGCAACCATCCGGTGATGGATTTTCTCTTCTCGTCAAAGAGATATATGAAGAAGCAAACGTTTCCCCATCGACTGTTGCCTTTATCGAAGCTCATGGAGCTGGTGAATACGCAAAAAAATAATTAAAATACAATATTAACATGTTCTTTTATAGGCACGGTTGTTGGCGATCCTTTAGAAGTGAATCGCATTAACGATTTCTTTTGTCCGGGAAGAGAAAACGCGTTACTCTTAGGATCATGCAAATCCAATACAGGTCACGCCGAACCTGCTTCTGGTCTTTGCGGCATCATAAAAGTGATATCTAATATTTACATAACTATTCTCATTATCCATAAAAAAAAACTATGAAATTTCAGTTAATTTTCGCGATGGAATTATACCACCAAATATAAACTTCGATAAACCCAATAAAAATATCAAAGCACTTTTGGATGGTAGTATTAAAGTGGTGACAGAGAAAACTCCTTGGCCGAAGGACTTGAATTTTGGCGGTGTAAACAATTTTGGATTTGGCGGTGTCAATTGTCACGTCTTATTGAAGAGACCCGACGAGAATAACAGAATAAGACCTGTCAATGACCAAGCTATATTAGTTTGTTACAGTGGAAGGACAATAGAATCAATGCAATCCTATAGAAACTTTTTAAAATCGAAGAATTCTGATTACGATTCAGCAGCTTTGATCCACTCGATTTTCAGGTAATTATAAAACTTCAAAAAATAATTCATTAAATTTACAATCATTTCATATAGAAAACGTATTGAAAACAATCATTACCGAGGATTTTCTTTGATCGATTTATATGGAGAATTGCATCACTCCTGCAAATATATAACAGACGAACCAAAAGCACTTCACTTATATTTGAACGGCCATCAATCTCACCATTTGGAAATTCTTAACCAAATGCAAAAACTGGATTTCTTCTGTCAGTCTATTAAGAAGTATTTTTTATGAAATATAATTAATCAGCTCTAATTACGCCTATTTAAATTTTAGATTCAAATTAGCTTTGAAAAAGTATAACATCTGTGAAGACTTTAATGAACCAACAATTTTTTTGGAACTTTCTGCTTGCATTACTGCATAATAGAAACATTCAAGTCATTGAATATTCCTATTTGTAAAATTACCTACTCTTCGATTGGTCAACTGACTGCTGCATACGCTGCAGAAGTTCTTAGTCTGGATAATGTTATTTTGATAGGAAAAGGATTGATTGGAAAAAGTAATGGAACAACAACATTTTTGAGTGAAGAACTTAGACAAGTCATGCTGCAGAAGGAATTAACTAAACATAGTTTATCAGAAACAAACATTGATGATTTTCAATATGTTTCTGATAAATATATTGTGAACAACTTACTCAATTCTTCTGCAAATGAATGGAGTAATAAAGATGTTATTATTGGTGTAGATTTTGAAGGAGGGGAAAAGTCGCTTCAAATAGTTCATATGATTTGCAGAGATACGACGTTAAATGATATATTAATCAATTTCGGGGAGTTGTATGAATTGGGGATGGATTTCGATTTGGGAAAGTTGTATCCAATTCAATGGCCAGTTAAGAGAGGAACGGCGATGATTTCTCCATTGATCAAATGGAAACATGATCATGACTTTCCTACACCAAAATATCAAGTTGTTGAAAGTAACGAGACCGAAAAACATATAAACACATCTAATAATCATTTTAGCTTTTATAAAGGACACGTTTTTAATGGTATGATTTAGTACGACTTTTGTAACAATTATAATTAACAATTCATTTTCAGGACGAACTATTTTTCCTGCTACTGGATATTTATTCCTAATATGGGAGTTTTACGCTTCCATTAAAGATAGATTGATGCAAAATATGAAGATTTGCTTTGAAGACGTTAGATTTCACATAGCCTCGACACTAGCTAAAGATAGCACTTTTAGCTTTTACTTAACCATTCAAAAGACCGGGTATTTTGAAATATCCCAAAGAAACACAACTTTGGTTACAGGTAGAATCTATGAAGTTGAAACTTGTGATATAGCATACGAAGATAGAGTGATTGATCCCAATTTACCAGTGCTTACAAAGAATGATATATATACCGAAATGACTCTGAGAGGTTACGACTACAAGTAAGTATTAATTTTAATAATGTTAAGAGTTTTAAATATCTTAAAACCATACATTTAATCAGAGACCAATTCAGAGGATTGCAAAAGATGATTGGAAATAAGGCTTTTATTGAATGGACTGGAAATTGGGTTACTTTTTTGGACAACATATTGCAGTTCATGGCACTTCAACAGGATGCTAGAAACATATATATACCTATAGGATTGGGTAAACTTATCATCGATGCCAAAGGTCATATGGATCAAATCAAAGATTTGGGCAAAAAAAATACTATACCAGTGGAAATTAATTATAATATTGCCAGGTCGAAAAATGTAGAATTCACGTGTATGTACGACATGATCACAGTAAAGAAGAAAACACAAAACGATCCCATATTGGAAACGTACAAGTTTGTACCGAATCAGTCAAGTCTGAGTCAGGATGAATCAATGAGAGTCAACATGCAGATCATATTAGAAAATATTTCAATGGTAAATGTAAACGTTTTGGAGATTTTAGATGACAAAACATCCAATTTACAACCTGTTGCAATACATCTTAAAGAAATTCTAAATAATATAATTAAAGTTCGTGCAAATATTACAATCTATTCCCTAAAGAAACTCGAAAACATCATCGGTGTTCAAATTACAGATAAACCTCCAGAAGAACAAAACGCGTTGATTTGCATCGGATACAATTTGTTAAGTAACTATGAAAGTATGCAACGAGCTTTAGCTTATATATCTAATAAACATTTAACTGTATTGACTAAATACAAATTACCTTCAGGTGTATTTATACATCTACTAACAACAACTAAACAATATCAAGAACCTATTTACATAGAAGTAAACGATGATTATGAGAGTTGGCTACCACAAGTGCAAAACAGTTTGAAGTCCTCGAAGAAAATCTTGCTTTATTCCGATAAAGATCCGACCAATGGTATTTTGGGTTTGGTGAACTGCTTGAGGTGCGAAGAAGGTAAAAAGAATGTATCCTGCATTTTCATACAGAATGGAAGAAATTTTAATGAAAAAAGTGAGTTTTTTAA